GAAAGTATAAGTGAAGAAATTGAAAAGTGTGATGAAGACGTTTCCCGTGAGAGAGATAAAGTCAAGACAAAGAAATGTAAAAAACGAAGAACAAAGGATGATTCTGAAACAATTGCAAATGGAATGGAAAGTATAAGTGAAGAAATTGAAAAGTGTGATGAAGACGTTTCCCGTGAGAGAGATAAAGTCAAGACAAAGAAATGTAAAAAACGAAGAACAAAGGATGATTCTGAAACAATTGCAAATGGAATGGAAAGTATAAGTGAAGAAATTGAAAAGTGTGATGAAGACGTTTCCCGTGAGAGAGATAAAGTCAAGACAAAGAAATGTAAAAAACGAAGAACAAAGGATGATTCTGAAACAATTGCAAATGGAATGGAAAGTATAAGTGAAGAAATTGAAAAGTGTGATGAAGACGTTTCCCGTGAGAGAGATAAAGTCAAGACAAAGAAATGTAAAAAACGAAGAACAAAGGATGATTCTGAAACAATTGCAAATGGAATGGAAAGTATAAGTGAAGAAATTGAAAAGTGTGATGAAGACGTTTCCCGTGAGAGAGATAAAGTCAAGACAAAGAAATGTAAAAAACGAAGAACAAAGGATGATTCTGAAACAATTGCAAATGGAATGGAAAGTATAAGTGAAGAAATTGAAAAGTGTGATGAAGACGTTTCCCGTGAGAGAGATAAAGTCAAGACAAAGAAATGTAAAAAACGAAGAACAAAGGATGATTCTGAAACAATTGCAAATGGAATGGAAAGTATAAGTGAAGAAATTGAAAAGTGTGATGAAGACGTTTCCCGTGAGAGAGATAAAGTCAAGACAAAGAAATGTAAAAAACGAAGAACAAAGGACGATTCTGAAACAATTGCAAATGGAATGGAAAGTATAAGTGAAGAAATTGAAAAGTGTGATGAAGACGCTTCCCGTGGGGGAGGTAAAGTCAAGACAAAGAAGAATAGAAAAAGAACGAAGAATGATGTGGTGGATACGAAGGATAAAGATGTTTCTGATACGGTAGGAAATGATTTGGACAGTGTTCCTGAACAAAATGTGGAGAATGTCTCGTCTGGGAAAGAAGGCAAGGTGAAACGAAAAAAGAGCAAGAAAGGGAAAAGGAATATTGCAGCTGAAGGTGGTTCAGATATGGTGGTAAACGATGGTCCTGGGAAAGATGAAAATAATTTGGGCGAAGAAGAACAGGCTTTTAAACAAGATAAAAATAAGAGAAAGAAAGGTAAGAAGAGAATCAAGAAGGATGAATAGATGAATGTACCTAAAAAAATTTATTGGACATGAACTTCATGCAACAACAAGAGATTAAAATACATGTGATGATTGTAATTTCAAGGCATAATTAAAATCAAGCTTTCTCGTGCCACTAACTTCTTATCAAAAGGACTTTGCCCAATTCAAAACGTCCAAGTATTTTTAATCTTTTTCAAGCTAAAATCTCACAACTTGTTATTTTATCAAGTTGCTACAAGGTTGTCACTCACAACTTATTGACAAGAATGTTCGCAACAGGCTTGTAGCAAGCTTGTCGACAAGTTGTAACAATGCTGTTATTTCATCAAGTTGCTACAAGCTTGTCACTCACAATTTATCAACAAGATGTGTTTGCAACAGGCTTGTAGCAAGCTTGTCGACAAGTTATAACAATGCTGTTATTTTATCAAGTTGCTACAAGGTTGTCACTCGCAACTTGTTGACAAGTTGTTGAATTGCAGGACGATAACAAGAATTTGTAACAAGTCTGTTGAGCTCAACCTTGTAGCAAGTTGCCAACAAGCCATTGACAGTTTGTCAACAAGCTGGGAACAAGCAGTGCGAACACATCCTGTTGACAAGTTGTTGGAACAGCATTGCTACAAGTCTGCTGCAGGTTTGTGCATTTTTACGTGAGTAGTCCAGTTACAAACCACGGCAGTTTATATTGTAGAACACGACCTACACTGGATCTACAAAATGGTTAATGTTTCGATATAGATATGTATTTGATATAAATTATATTTGGACTATCTGGTCTTCTGAAATAAATAATTCTCTACTTGGTTTAAATGTATTCTGCATTGAATAATAAAAGTTGTTTGTGCGATTTTTTGTTTTGATCATTTCGTCGTCCCACGCAAACGAACACCGCTAATCGCTTTCGGAAAAAAACTCAGAATCACGTTTCGTTTCAGAAAGGTTAAAAACTCGTTAACATAAACCCACCATTCCACATGCGTGTTACCACTTCAAAGGCTTGATGATGTCACACAAGCCGCGTGACGTCAGAGTTAACATTCGCGCGACCGCAAGTGTTTCCGCGTTCTTCTACACGGAAGAGCGACGGAAATCAATTTATCTGTTATCGAGATCATTTGCTTGAATGGAAGGCAAATTTACCCATAGTATAGGAATTTAACGTAGGCTATTTACACTGGATAGCTTTGTCAGTTCTAAACTGTTCTTCCTAGAGGTTCAGTGAGGATCATCTCTTATTGATCCAGTGTTACTACAGGAGGAAACCTAAACTAAACTAATTTTATTCATACTGGATAGTTCTATCAGTTCTAAACTGTTCTTCCTAGAGGTTCAGTGAGGATCATCTCTTATTGATCCAGTGTTACTACAGGAGGAAACCTAAACTAAACTAACTTTATTTATACTGGATAGCTCTATCAGTTCTAAACTGTTCTTCCTA